CGACAGTTCATCGACCAAAAAATAACCGAGTTCTTCGACAAATGGCATATTAAGCGAATACTCACCACGCCATATCACCCTGCCGCCAACGGCCAAGCAGAGTCTTCCAATAAAACCATACTGAACATACTGAAGAAGAAACTCGAGGAAGCCAAAGGGCTATGGCCCGAGCTACTGCCGAAAGTGTTGTGGGCGCACTGGACCTCACCAAAGTCCTCCACAGGAGAAACACCGTACTCTCTGGTCTATGGAACCGACGCTGTCATACCAGTCAAAATCGGCGAACCAAGCTTGAGGTATTCACATACCAGCGGAGCAGAGAACGACATAAACAGACTTCAAGACCTCGATGAGGCCGAGGAAAGAAGAGAAATGGCCCACATAAGAATGGTGGCTCAGAAACAACAAGTCGAAAGATACTACAACAAGAGAGCCAAAATAAGACCACTCAAAGTGGGAGACTACGTCCTCAAAGCCAAAACATTGGCATCAAAAGACCCAAGCGAAGGAAAACTGGGCACCAACTGGGACGGACCCTACAAAATAACAGCAGCAGCAAGTAAAGAAGCATTTCAATTAGAAACAATGGAAGGAAAAACGCTCCAAAACAATTGGAACGTCGCCCACCTCAAGTATTTCCATTTCTGAAAGGCGTCTCCCGAGTCGCACTCTTTTTCCCTTACCCGGGTTTTGTCCCAATTGGGTTTTCTCGGGGAGGTTTTTAACGAGGCGGCAGAGGGGACACCTGGAGATACTTGCGAAACAAGTTTATCATACCAGCCACTCCATACTCCTCCCGACTGGCATGACAAAGGGACTGGACTAGCGTGATCTCCAATGTATGAAAGGCCACGGCCATCTCCAATGTATGAACGGCCACGGCCATCTCCAATGTATGAAAGGCCACGGCCATCTCCAATGTATAAACGGCTACGGCCATCTCAACGTGTAAAAGGCTACGGCCATCTCCAACAACATTATGGCTAAGGCCATCGACGCCGATAAGTCGACCCAGCTCGACTATGACGGCAAGTAACTCGACGACAGTCGAAGTTACGTACATGGCTAAGGCCATCAACGATATTATGGCTAAGGCCATCGACGTCGATAAGTCGACACAGCTCGACTACGACGGCAAGTAACTCGACGACAGTCGAAGTTACGTACATGGCTAAGGCCATCAACGATATTATGGCTAAGGCCATCGACGTCAATAAGTCGACCCAGCTCGACTACGACGGCAAGTAACTCGACGACAGTCGAAGTTACGTACATGGCTAAGGCCATCAACGATATTATGGCTAAGGCCATCGACGTCGATAAGTCGACCCAGCTCGACTACGACGGCAAGTAACTCGACGACAGTCGAAGTTACGTATATGGCTAAGGCCATCAACGATATTATGGCTAAGGCCATCGACGTCGATAAGTCGACCCAGCTCGACTATGACGGCAAGTAACTCGACGACAGTCGAAGTTACGTACATGGCTAAGGCCATCAACGTGTAAAAGGCTACGGCCATCTCCAACAACATTATGGCTAAGGCCATCGACTCCGATAAGTCGACCCAGCTCGACTATGACGGCAAGTAACTCGACGACAGTCGAAGTTACGTACATGGCTAAGGCCATAAACGATATTATTGCTAAGGCCATCGACGTCGATAAGTCGACCCAGCTCGACTACGACGGCAAGTAACTCGACGACAGTAGAAGTTACGAACATGGCTAAGGCCATCAACGATATTATGGCTAAGGCCATCGACGTCGATAAGTCGACCCAGCTCGACTATGACGGCAAGTAACTCGACGACAGTCGAAGTTACATACATGGCTAAGGCCATCAACGATATTATGGCTAAGGCCATCGACGTCAGTAAGTCGACCCAGCTCGACTACGACAAGTAACTCGACGACGGTCGAAGTTACGCCCACGGCTAAGGCCATCAACAATATTAAGGCCGAAAATAAAAGGTACAAAAAGAAAAGAATAATAGCAAAAGTATAACTTCCATTATCATCCAAAAATACATGTACAAAAGGACCCATTTACATCTCCAAATACGGCAAAACAAAATGAATACAAGTCCTAAGGGGCTTCGCCATTCTGTTCATCGTCCCCCGCCATACCGCCATCTCGTCCACCGCCGTCCTCGGCCTGATAGGTCGCAGAGATCCAAGACCCGGACCCTAGACGGTTAACGTCTTCGAAATTATAGCCCGCCCGTTCTGCGGAGTCGGAACTATACCCGCAGGCTTCACGGGCAACCTGAGCTGTACGCCGTTGAGCCTGAACCTCCGCCTCAGTAGCTCGACCCGCATCCAAGAATTCCTCGAACAGCAGCCGACGAGCCGCTCTCCGGAATGTGTGTTGGGCTGGCGTTGGGAACCGCCCTCCCTTGGGGAGCCGACCTCCCGGAACGGATGTCATCTGCCATAAAAAGTGGCCTTGACTCCCGACGGGGCTCGCTCGCCCCCTCGTCTTCTGTGGCTATCCCCTTGCCAGTTATCAACCGGCGTCATTTCCTTTCCGGCGGCTCCTCGCCCTCAGAAGTCTCCTCCACAGGCCGCAGGGATGGCATTGAAGGAGTCGCTTCACTTGTGGACACCGCCACGGGCAGCGGTTGAGGAACCTCCGGAGCGCCATCACTGGGCGAGCCACAGGGTATGTATCCGTCTTCAGAGTCAGTCCCCGCCCCAGGCGAGGTAACGACGCTCTTCTTCTTCTTCTTAGGGGCGCTCCGACCTGCCAACACGAATAAGTCAGGTAACAAAAACGTAGGAAACCTCCAAACCGTAGCCAAAGAGTTACCTGGCGGGTCGTATCGTTCACGACACGCAGCCCAGGTGCGGCATTCCTCCGCATACGGAATCATTCTCTCCACCCACGATTTAATATTTTCAATGAACTGGGGTGGAGAAGCCCTCGCTGCGAATAAAAAGGGGGGAAAAACAAAGAAATCACAATGGCCGTATGGTCAAAAGCGCAAGCAGTCCTGAATTCTACAAGTAGAAATACTTACGTTCTGGATTCCATCTTTCCGGGAACCCTTCGGGATTCGACACCAGGTGCTCCGTCCTGATGTAGAAATATTTATGCCAAAAGCGGCGGTTGGTCTTGTCATCGGCTTTAACAACCAAGCCCCTTGTGCCACGACTTTTTAACTGCAGCATGGTACCCCTCAGGTAACCAGGACTGAATAACGGTAAGAGGTGGTGGACCGAGACGCTGCACTCAGCCCTGGCCGCATAAGTGGTCATAATACGGCACACCTTCAAGGTATAGGGAGTGAGCTGAGCCGGACACAAGGGTAGATTGGAAGATTGTAACCGATCAAGAACGGGTACTCATAGAGTGTGCAGTACCCAGGCCAGTGCACATTGGCATAGTCCGTCCCGGCCGGAACCATTTCCACGTGGTCCGGAATATGGTGCGTCTCTCGAAGATCATCTAAGTGGAATTGTAATAAATCGCTGTGCTCCCAGGGAAGGGCTGGGCTTTTAGTTGGAAAATCCCTGCGAACATGCATCTCCTTCGGAAGGACGTTGTCTACGCTGAGAGGAACAAGGGCCTTCTCTGCCTTTTCCCCTTCACCACCGGAAGATGGCAGAACCCTAGACGGGGCATTATCTTTGGCCTTTTTACTACTCTGTCCACGTTTTGTCATGTTATCCTACGTAAGAAACGAAGCACTGACGATAGGAAGTGTGGTTTCAACAGAAGTGGGAGAGTCTCGCACGAATTAGCGGTTACTAGAAAGGAAGGTAAAAAAGGAAGCTAGAAAAGGTTCTCCAAAGGTTCGAAAGATGAAATGGATTGAACCTTCCCTCTATTTATAGGGTTAGGATGCACAGAAATCGAAGGGGCATGATTCAAAACAGGCGCGGGAAACCAGAACATCACATCACCCTCTGAACCGCCTCGGGAGTAAGTATAATTACGACGCATGCGGACGATGACGTCATTTCGAAAAGGGGTCCACACGTCAGCAGCTCAACGATGCCATATATTTCCCCTCATTTACGTCACCGCCCCCATAGTGAGGTCAAATTTTCTAAAGATGAGGTCTGCATTTCCGCCCATTGAAGACGTCTACCAGATACGCCTCCAACGAGCGGAGGGACTAACTGTATGGGGTCAAATTTGGCCCTCAACGTCTCTACGCCGAAGGGTACGTCCAGTAAGTATACTTCTACTAATGTATGGGTACGACTCGGACGTGGGGACAAAAGCGACATCGTTTAGGACTCAGTGTCTTCACTATGAAAACGTTACCTATTTTTGTAACTTTTTGATTATTTCGAGAAAGGTCTCTTACTATATAAGGGAGACCTTCACATTGTAAAGGGGGGTGATTCTTGAACAATACAACTCTCTCATTTTCCGACTCTCTCTATCTCTGTCTCAAAAGAACATATTCTCTTGAGTTCATATTATCACTTTATAATACTAGATCTACAACAATAACATCATCTTTACATCTCTAGGTCTACTATATTTGATTACGATTTACCCTTCTCTTACTTTTGATTGTTTTCTAGCTTACAAAGTATATTGTTAACTTTTGAGCCAAACAATTTGTGACACATAAAAGTTTAAACTAATTTTTTTTCTTCATTTATTACTTTATTTTTCTTTTCTTTTATTTGCTGTATTTATTAACTATCAGATCTTAGTTAATGAGTTGCTTAACCTCTAACCTCATCTTATCTTATCTATCTTTGGTTGTTATCAGACGTGGCGTAGGCGGTAGAAATGGCAGCAGGTAGCCACTTTACAGGACTGCTATTTAGGAATTAACTAGTATGTCCTGAATTTCAGTTTTTCACTTTAATTTTTCAGGATAAAAGTGTCCTGAAGTTAAGATTTTTAATTTAAAATTTCAGAATAAAATAAGTACTGGCTAATCTTTACATATCATCCCTAAAAATCGCTATCTTCGCACCAACAACTCATTTAACTAAAATAATCTAATCATTAATTAGGATTGAACTCAATCTCTCTCAATTTGGTAGATAAGGAGAAAGCAGAAAAAAAAGGTACAACAAGAACACAGCCCAAAAATTCTAAATTCCTTTATTTCAGTCCACACCGCAGACAGACTGTTGATATATTTTCTTGTTGTCTACCAAACTACATCTCTATATAGATTTCGACAGCATTAATTAGTGGCGGAAGTGTTGAAGTGGCTGTTTTGTTAATTACAACATCGTATCTTTCGGAACCATAGCCTGGAGACAATGTGAATATCGTCGTCGTCGACAGATATACCGGAGACATAGGTCCATAAAAGAGGTTATCATTGATATAAATGTTGAATTCCCTTTTTTGTGTCCCAATCAATTCTACGACTTCGGCGAAGTGCAAGTATATGTAATACTTGTCTGTGGTATTGTCAGCCGGCCAGGAAAACGACACCGTGTTAGTGGCGGTGGTCGGTGTCACTGCCGTGCTCATTACCGCCGATGGTACTCGGTAACTGTTCTCTATTATGTCTTGAGTTGTATTAATTGTTGCCATTGTCTCCCATGGAAATGGTAGCCAAATTCTATCATATGCATCATAAGGATACCTATGTATTTAAACAGAAAACAAACAATTAATTGTTAACGAATATATCCATCTGGTATAAATAGACAAGTATTGTAACTCCACAAAAAAAAAAAAAAAAAAAAAAATCATGGGGGACCAAGCTAGTAAAAACTGGTTTAACTTTTATACACTCACAGAATAAAAGCTTTTATATCATATATCATGTTATCCAAAAGTCAATTACAACTAACACACAAAAGATAGTATTGACTTATTACAGCGAATTAAAATTACACAAACCTTATAAAAAATATATTTTTAATGTTGTCGGATATATATAAAAGTTAAATTTAATTAAATTTGTCTCAATAACGAGATCTTAGTATAGAAAGGGAAGACCTTGATCTTCTGAAATTAAAAATATTAAATAAACGTACCTAATGAATAGATTGGTTAAGGAACCGAAATTCAGACGTCCAATAAGATTCAATGATTTATTTAGAGTTGGGTATGTAGTAAAATTCAATGGCCTTAACTCTACGGCTGAAATAAAAGGAGTTGTAGCATTTGTCTTTACAAGGCAAACGGTTATGTAGTCAGTGGAAGGGGTGTGTATAACTTCCTTCAAAATTGGTATAGAAGCATTAGATATTGTGACTGTATCCCAATATTCTTCTCCAAGGTAAAGATCAAAATTTGGTAATTGACTACTTCCATCATAATCTCCATAGAGAAAACTAGCCCTTATCAAGTATTTCGTATTATTCCCTTGAGCAGGGGTTAGAGTGTAGCAGCTTTTAGTTCCTACAGGAAAGCTTGTAACTGTGAGGAATGGTATTTCCTGGGAATTGGATTGGTATATAGGTGATATGGTATTGCTCACTCCGCCAATGACATAACCTTCATCTGAAATGTAAGATATGCCTGTTATTACGTCAGTATAGTTAGAACCTGCTAGTATTCCACAGTCGATGCTTATGAATCCTGTAAAACATGAACATAAAAAGAACATCATCGTCATACAGGGGAAAAATTAAATATTATAGGTCACACTCACACATACATACATACATACATACATACATACATACATACATACATACATATATTAAAACGGATATACTACTAATTATCATGATACCTGATTGATCGTCTTGTGCAACAACTATTGTTTCTATAGAACAACCAACAAGACAGGCAAAGAGGAAGCCTTTCAACATCTCCATATCTAGACACTGTCCTCTTGATGTTTAGTTGATTGATTGAGAATAATTTGGGTGCTTTGCCTTATATATTCCTTGCTCAATTTGACCAGGTTAAAGTTTGAAGTTTCCAAGAGATTTGATGAACTCCATCCTGATATCACTTGCTGAGCAAGGTAAGTGCAACATGTAGTTTCTTAACGTGCTCATATGCCATGAAATGTGCTTTCTTATGTTGAAATAATCAACCAGTTTACCTTATTGAGCCACAATCTTTTCCTATAGTAGTAGAACAAGCATATATGTTATGGCAATAACAGCTGACCAGAAGAAGTCTAACAAAAGAATTTATTAGTTTATTCTTCCACTAGAAATATAAGGTTATACTAGGTATTTTTTAATCATTTCAACTATAGATCAGCATAAGGATTACGTCTGTGATCTTGATTGTTCCTATTGAAAAGTGAGGACGTATATAATGACACTGATAATGCGTCCAAAAGATGTTGTACTCGTTCAAACTAGTAGAGAAAACTAGTTATGGCCCACAATCATATTCTTTCTTCAGAAAGAAAATAGTACTCCTATTACCATACGTTATCCAAGCCAATTCAGTGTGGCTTTTGCATATCCCAAAGGATATAGTTACTATATTTATATGAAACAAATGTTACATTATCGAATGTGATCCTTGCAATCACTGGAATCTTAAGATGTAAAAGCCATGGATATCTCTGAAAGATAGTTTGTCATATATGTTGGAAAAGTGGGCTTCTCCCACATCGGTGGTGCAAAGCCATTTTGTGTGCCTTTTAAGTCCTTGTCCTTTTATATATTTAATTTAGAACACATACTCTTATATGTGTGCAAATACATATATATTATATATTATATATATTAATATAAAAGACTTGAACTTGGGCCTGGAATGGGCGCGGGCCGAGTCGGACCTAAAATAAATATTTTATTTTTATTTATTTCTACAATTAAATCTGTTTTATTTTAAATTTAAATTTTAAATTTATTTGAATAAACAAATGCGTCTTTTTATAAAAGAACACATCTTTTTGAAAAGGTACGATGGTTGCCTATAAATAGAAGTTCTTCCAACAAAGTGGATATAGAAAAAATATGCAGTATATTCTTGGCTTGTTGTATCCTGAAGAAGATTGTTTGTATTTCCCCAATTTGTATACGGGCAATATCTTCTTTAAGGAAAGTCGTTCTCACGCCTCAAGCCTTCTTCAATTTCGTTTTCAATTATTATTTTTCTAACAATCTCAACAACATTCAAATTGACTAAGTTAATTAAAGTCCAGTTTTCAAATAATTCTTGAATCAAGGATACCCTTGACTTCCCTGAAAGGTCAATCTTTTCCAGCTTGACGCTGCAGTAGCTAAGTTTTTGTACCACGATACTGAAAATAAGCAAATGAAGGCAGAAGAGTTTAATTTTCGACATGAAGAATAGCAAATTCAGCCTAGCTAGCTTTTGGTCGATAAGGTAACAAAGGTCACGATTCAAAACAAAAAGATGAAAAGCAACACCAAAAACAAGAAATATCAACTACAAAGGCTAGAAAGATAATAACGACAATGTCTACAACATGCGGTATTAATTAGCATAAGTTGATTCAAGGACATAACTTCTGCATATTCTTTATGAAATACAACCATCCACATCCGTAAAAGATTTGTATATAAAGAAAAGACAAAAAAAAATAAAAATACCGCAGCTTTACTAGAATGTGGCACAAAATTGGTAACGCTCTTAAAATTTTGCATAATACAGATACATGCATGTATACGGTGAAACCAGAGGAGCCGATTTCGTGGCCATTACGACGTTCCATAGATACGCCTGCTAGGGCTCGAGGCGAGGCTCGAGATGTAACCTCGAAGGATTTCCAAACGCTCAACTCTGAGGCAGCGCAGATCGATAGCTATGATGGAGAGATGGGGAGTTCCCTAGGAACTTGATTAAAGCTGGCCAAGCCTATCGGGCTAGTACAAGCCCGCACAGTGGTGGCATATAATAGCTGTACCAGCCTTATATCTTTGTAATAAATGCATCTGTATTATGTTGGGATTCCCCCTCATATATAAAGGGGACCCTTGTCATTTTGTAAGATACATAATATACAACACACTACATTCAATACAAGAACATTCTCTGCTCTCTAACTCAAACATACTCGCTATTTGGTTCTATTGCTTAATTACATTTATTTTCTTATTTATATTTATCACATTTCATTGATTGTTCTTCATTTATTGCTCATTATTGGTCATAAAGAGCCGCCATCAAATTTATCATAACTGTTAATCCTTCATCAACTACCCTTAACCGGGCATCCGACTCGACCTCGAGGCCCCGTATACGCCAGCTCGAGGCCCCGATTTCTAGCCATTCGGTTTGATTATTACACTATGTACAAGCTCTTATCTTATCCCCTAATCTTTCACTTAGCATCTATTGCCTAACTACTAGCATAAAAACAGATCATGTATTTTTAGAACCACACAATCAAATCTAATTGTTATTACCGTTTTCAAGGTAAACAGTTTGGCGCCCACCGTGGGGCTAAAAATAATAGTGATTGTTTACTACATAATGCAAGTTATCTTTCACACTTTTTCTTGTCTAAGATCTTTGATTTCAGGTCAAAATTGTCTAACTCAGTGAACAAACATGAAAACAACGGTCTTGAGGACCATGGAGAAAATGGTGTAGCTGTTCCAGGTGTTGGTGTACCACCACGAAACCCTGAGGATGCACCAGAACCAATTCCCGTGGACATGGTCTCGCACAACGCTCAACACGTCGAGATAAGCTCCCACACCAATAGGAGTATACACCAAGAAAACCAACAGGAAGCCCAAAAAACCCCGGCTCAGGAGGAACAAGGGGTTAGCCTTCACGTTATCTTCGAGATATTATAGGCACAACAGCTGGTGATTGCTCAACTGCAAAGCCACCGGAAAACTCCAAGCACAGTAGCGTCGGCCGAGCAGGTACCAGAAAGATCAAGCAACAACAGGTCTGCAGCCGACCCCGCCATCATAAAGATGCTCGAGGCCTCACAAAGAGGATCGAGTCGGGCGAGAAGAAGATAGAAACCAATGACAAGAAGGTAGAGACCTACAACTCTAGGGTCGATCAAATTCCGGGTGCACCCCCAATCCTGAAGGGTATAGATTTAAAGAAGTTCGTACAAAAGCCGTTCCGGCAGGATGCGGCTCCAAAACCCATTCCGAAAAAGTTTAGAATACCCGATCTTCCGAAGTACAACGGAACCTCGGACCCCAACGAGCACGTCACTGCTTACACTTGTGCAGTGAAGGGCAACGACCTAAAGGACGACGAGATCGAATCCGTCCTACTAAAGAAGTTCGGAGAGACGCTTTCGAAAGGGGCGATGATGTGGTATCACAACCTAGCCCCAAACTCGATAGATTCGTTTGCCATGCTGGCAGATTCATTCATAAAGGCGCATGCTGGTGCCATCAAAGTAGCTACAAGGAAATCCGACGTCTTCAAAATCAAGCAAAGAGAGAACGAGATGCTGTGGGAGTTCGTGTCTCGCTTTCAAATGGAACGAATGGAATTACCACCAGTCTTCGATGACTGGGCCGTGCAGGCCTTCACTCAAGGCTTGAACGAGTGAAGCTCGGTAGCTTCGAAGCACCTGAAGCAGAACTTGATTGAATATCCCGTCGTGACTTGGTCGGATGTCCGCGACCGATACCAATCAAAGATCAGGGTCGAGGATGACCAACTAGGAGCCCCCTCGGGCTCGGTATATCCTAGCAGGCTTCCGGCAAAGGAGCCAAGGCCAAACAAAGAAAGATACCAACCATACACTGAAGATAGAAGAAACGCCCCAAGGCGCAACATACCTCGAAATGACCGAAAGATGGATCGAGGTCAGAATCCTCGGGGACTCGTGAGCAGAGCCGGATTAGTTAGGCACACAGAGCCGATGGAAGCGCCCCGCTTGTCGAAATACAATTTTAACATCGACGTTTCAGACATCGTATCTGCCATCGGTAAAATCAGGGACACCAGGTGGCCAAGGCCTGTACAATCGGATCCTTCACAAAGGAACCATAACTTAATGTGTGAATTTCATCGCACACACGGTCACAGGATCGAAGATTGCCGACAGCTCCGGGAAGAAGTGGCCTGGCTACTCAGTAAAGGGCATCTCCGAGAATTCCTCATCGTCGATCCAAAAATCAGTTCTGGGAAAGAGAGGCGACAAAGAAAAATGAAACAGATGAACCACAACATGTCATCCACATGATCTTTGGAGGCATCGACGCTCCACAAGAACCCATGGTCAGGAGAACAAAAATATCCATCACCAAGGAGAAGCGGACTCGAGGTTACACACTCGAGGACGCCCTCACATTCAGCGACGAAGACATCGAGGCTCTATCTCAGCCTCATAACGACGCATTGGTAATTTCTTTTCTTGTAAATACATTTCAAATTAAGCATGTGCTTGTGGATCCAGGTAGCTCGGCCAACATTATCAGGTCGAGGGTGGTGGAGCAGCTCGGACTGCTCGACTAGATCATGCCCACCTCTCGAGTCCTTAACGAAATCAACATGGCGAGCCAAACAACGAAAAGGGAAATCACCCTCCCGGTCAACGTGGCTGTCACAACCCAAAATGCCAAGTTTCATGTCATTGAAGGAGACATGAGGTATAACGCCTTGCTCGGAAGGCCATCGATACAGTGCATGAGAGCAGTACTATCCACCATCCATCAGATGATGAAATTTCCAACATAGGACGGAATAAAAACCGTCTACGGAGAACAGCATGTAGCGAAATAGATGTTCGTAGTGCACGATGTGGCACCAATGCCAATACCTCCAACATCAAAGGAGCCAAAGGATAAACAAACAGTAAAATAGCAACAACGAAATATACTCTCGGCTACACCTGACTAAACAAGTAAAGGACCGTACCGCGTCCTCAGAACAAACCATCAAAGCTTATCAAGGCCCAAAGCGCCGTCAGCACTGAGGTATGATCATCTCCTTTTTTATATACATTTTACGCTAACCTGTGTGCAAGTATCCGATCGAAACAGTTATAGCGCTTTCCATCCTGAAGACC